TTCACTCAGATCTACCTCCAGCTATCTCTGATGACACATGTACTCATGCCAATCCAGCATCCACTCTGACCGTTTTCCCCAATGCGTCTCCCGATGAGATTTGCTCTGAAATCTCGAAGCCACCTTCAAAATCGTGTGACCTAGACACCATATCAACTTGGCTCCTGAAATAATGCGCTGATTCAGTTGTGTCTGCAATCACTCATATCATCAACAACAGCCTGCAGTCCGCTGTTGTTCCCCCAGCCCTTAAACCTGCCCATGTACGACCTTTGTTGAAAAAGCCATCATTGGACCCAAACGATCTTCGCAACTACCGCCCGGTATTCAACTTGCCATTCCTCTCAAAACTACTTGAGTGGGTTGCATTCTCCAAGCTGTCCATGTTCCTCCAACTAAATAACCTCCTTCACAATTATCAGTCTGCCTATCATCCACACCAGTGTCGAAACACTACTCATTCACCTGCCCAATCATATTCTCCATCAAATGGACGTCGGGAAAGTTACAGCGCTTGTTCTTTTCGATCTATCCTCGGCCTTCGATACGATTGATCATGCCGTCCTGATCAATCGCTTACGCTCTCTAGGAGTATGTGGTTCATCTCTGGAATGGTGCAAATCATACCTATCTAATCGACATCAAACCATTTGCATCAAGGGAGTGAAGTCTGTCCCTACTGTCCTTGACTGTGGTGTTCCTCAAGGCTCTGTCGGAGGGCCTTTACTATTCACCATCTACATCCAACCACTTGGCAAAATCATCCAAAACTACAACCTACAGTACCACTGCTACGATGATGACATTCAACTGTATCAGTCATTTCAACCGTCCCAATGTAATGCTCTGTCCACTCTAAACAATCTTGAGGCATGCATCAATGAGATCAAGTCATGGACGGCGGCAAACTGTCTCAAGTTAAATGATGGGAAATCAGAATTCATAGTGAGTGGCTCTAAACAACAACTCGCGAAGATCAACATCCGCTGTATCCACATTGGTGATTCTGTCATCCTACCTTCCACAACATGTCGGAACCTCGGAGTTATTATTGACTGCAACATTTCACTCATCAACCACGTCGCATACGTATCAAAATCGGTCCGTTATCACCTCAGGAATCTCAGCTTCATCCGTAAATACCTCAATTGCACAGCCACAGAACAACTGGTACATATACTTTCATATCTTCCTGTCTGGACTTCTGCAACTCTCTCCAGTACAAGCTGCCACAATATCTAACTGACAAGCTTCAACGCCTTCAAAATGCCTCTGCCCATCTTGTCACACTGTCCAAACAATCAACCCACATAACCCCCATACTCAAGTCTCTTCACTGGCTCACAATCACCGATCGCATTGCGTTCAAAGTTCTCCTTCATGTTCTCCATTCACTACAAGGCGCTTCACCCGGTTACATCAATGACTTAATCACATTGTACCAGTCATTGTACCAACGGTCTTCCGCTCATGCTGCCCCGGAACTTTGGAACAATCTCCCACTTGAACTACGCCAAATGAAATCCCTGTCTACATTCAAATCTTACCTCAAAACCCATCTGTTTCTACGTTGTTTTGTAATAAATGTTTTTCTTTGTATGTATGCGCCATGAGCGTCATGCCTGGCGGATACTGGCGCTTTACCAAGTGTTCATTATTGAGTGGTCGGGCACAACCCGACCACTCTTTGGATCTGTTACGATTAATCTTTCTTTCTTTCTTACTTTCTTTCTTTCTTTTTTTTTCTGGACAATACTTCTCCGCGGGTTTTCTCTTAAACCGTATATGGTATGAACTTGTAACTTTCAATATATATCGACCCTCATCCGAAGTGGTGCATGTTACTCTGACGTCATGATTACGTCATCAGGTGTCAAATTACAAGTGATTTTAGGTGGAAAAGTGACCAATTACTTTCACTTATAACTCTTGAACTAAATAATCAATGATGTTTGTATTCTGTAATGAGATAGACCATTAATTGCTCAACATTTTTTGTCGTGTACGTTAACTCGCTTGACCTTTGCTTCCGGGTCTACTGGAAGGTCAAAGTTAGATGAATTCAAAATGAAGACGTTAGCCTGAAATAGAAACAAAGCAAAATTTCTTCTGAACGGTTTACAGTACAATCACAAAACCTTGTGTGAACTTGTACCATGTTACGAAGATGTTATACATTTTGTTACGTCAGCATGACGTCATCGGGTATCAAATTACAAGCGATTTAAGGGCAAATTTTGACAAAATAGTTTACGCTATATCTTTTGAACTAAATAGATTATCGTGTTCGTTTTTTCGTGAGGTTGTAGACTATGCCGTGAGTAACATTTCTTGTTCCCGGACACAAAACCGCTTGACCTTCACTTCCGGTGTTACCGGAAGTGCAATAAAAACCGAATATAATTCAAAAGCGGAATCATATTACTACACTCATATTAATTATGAAAGTGTTTAGTGAGGAATGCCAGACTCAAACGCAGTGTGATGACGTCATCTTTCGAAAGGGCGCCCCCTAGCGACACATAAAACAGTGTTTGCTTTCTTTAATTTGAAAACCATCCGTTCAAATTTTATCGAATCGCCCCTTGATATTCTTTGAATAACCACAGATAACTTAGCAAGGTTTCAAATTCATGACGTCATCAGACCGGAAGTTACTTCTATGAGAATTTGAAAACGACCCGCATTTTAAGTCTATTTATATTATTCGATCCATGTTGAATATCTTCGTAGCCCAAATAACGATATCCATTACAATGTCCACTTTTTGCATGCTTCCAAATACTGTGACGTTATCAAACTGGAAGTTAGATGTTATGAATACATACACTTACATTTTTCATACATTATTTAATTTCCGCACAATGAACATGTATCCACTCCGAACTAAATCAGTATTCACTTTCCGTTTTTGAATAATTACGTCATCAAGCCAGAAATAACTTAAATGTGTACATAGAATGTTTACTGAATTTTATCACAAAATAATTGATTGTACTGTAAAGGATTTAATTTTTGATCCTTCGTTCTTACATAAAAATATTCATAACTTAACTCGGCAGTGTTTAATGAAAAAAAATGCCTGCCCGACCACTCTACGTTTGTAACAACAAACGCGAACCTCTAGTTCTTTCTTCTTCTTTTTCGGACAATACTTCTCTGTGGGTTTTCTCCTAAATGGTAAATGTTATGAACTTGTAACTTTCCATATATATCAACCCTCATCCCTAGTGGTGCATATTACTCTGACGTCATGATGACGTCATCGGGTATCAAATTACAAGCGATTTCAGCTGAAAAAGTGATCAATTACTTTCACCTATAACTCTTGAACAAAATAATCAATGATGTTTGTATTCCATAATCGGATAGACCATGAATTGATAAACATTTTTTGTACGTGAACTCGCTTGACCTTTACTTCTTGGTCTACCGGAAGGTCAAAGTTAGGTGAATTTAAAATGAAGACTTTAGCCTGAAATCAAAACAAAGCAGAATTTCTTCCAAACGGTTTTCGGTATGACCCAGAAACCTAATGTGAACTTGCACCATGCTACGAAGATGTTATAAATTTTGTTACGTCATCATGACGTCATCAGGGATCAAATTACAAGCGATTTCAGGGTAAATTTTGACAAAATAGTTTGCGCTATATCTTTTGAACTAAATAGAGTATCGTGTTCGTTTTTTCGTGAGGTTGTAGACTATGCCGTGAGAAACATTTCTTGTTCCCGGACTAAAAACCGCTTGACCTTCACTTCCAGTATTACTGGAAGTGCAATAAAAACCGAATGTAATTCAAAAGCGGAAGCATTTCACTACACACATATAAATTATGATAGTGTTTAGTGAGGAATGCCAGACAAAAAAAAGGTGTGATGACGTCATCTTTCGAAAGGGCGCCCCTAGTGGCACATAACACAGTGTTTGCTTTTTCTAATTTGAAAACCATCTGTTCAAATTTTGCCAAATCGCCCCTTGATATTCTTGGTTTGACTACAAATAACTTGGCTAGCTTTTAAATTCATGACGTCATCAGACCGGAAGTTACTTCTATGAGAATTTGAAAACGACCATATTGTAAATTTACTTTATATCATATCACTTTATATCATTTATATCATTCGATTCATGTCGTATATCTTCGTATCCGAAGTAACGATATCCATTACAATGTTCACTTTTTGCTTCCAAATACTGTGACGTCATCTAACCGGAAGTTAGTTGTTATGAATAAATACACGTATATTTTCCATACTTTCATACATCATTTAACTTCACAATAAAAATTTATCCACTCCAAAATAAATCAGTATTCACTTCCCGTTTTTGAGTAATGACGTCATCAAGCCAGAAATAACTTGTGTACAATATTTACTGAAGTTTACCACAACAACATTGATTGTACCGGAAAGGATTTAATTTTGTGATCCTTTGTTCTTACATAAAAATATTCATAACTTAACACGGCAGTGTTTATTGACAAAAATGCCTGCCCGACCACTTTGCATTTGTAACAACAAACGCAAACCTCTAGTTATTATTATTATTATTGTTATGCCATGTGTTATTGCTCCTATTCATGCCAGGGCTCAAAAAGTCCCATTCGCCCACTGGGAATGGGAAATACTATTGAACCGTTAGGATCATTCTTGTTCCATGATGCAGTATTTGTGTGCAAATGCATGCTGGTGTGCGCGTTCAGCATTGCGCATATTGCTCCAAACAGCCAGCGCTGCAGAGTTCGGTTCAAACATTTGAGTGAAGGGGTGGTATGGAACAGAGAAATACATTTTCTACCAATTTGGAATTGAAATGAAAGTTCAAATATATCAAATGACAAGGATCTATATGTAAGTTATATAAAACAAATATTGAGTGGCTTTAAATTGTGAAATGGAAGGAATATTATCGCTCGGTAAAATCTGGACTTTTCCAGTTCACTTGACTTTGCCTTGTGAAATGGAAAAGTCCAGAATTTACCTTGCGATAATAATCCTCCCATTTCACTCTGAGCCACTCAATATTTGTATAACATCCAACACACCCCAGTGCATATCCTACATCCAGCAGTCACACCCAATTGCACACGCACATCCATAAAGCCTCCAGCATCCAGCAAAAGCTTCAAGTCATATATTTCTTTACAGTGTTTTTAGCTGTCGATAGTGAAGCTCAACAAATCATCATGACTCTCTGTTAGTTAGTTAGATAGATAGACAGTTACTTATTTAGTTTGTAACAAACGTTCACATTGTCTATTGCTGCTACATACTTTCTCAGTAGGCCCTACCTGATTAATGCAGTATCTGATATTTGTCCTCCTGTTGAAGTGTAAACTGTAGTAGCATCAACATCCAGAGCAGAACTTGCAGCATCTTTCACCCGTTCCATAGAGTCTTCACAACATATTACCTACATCAACATTTGAGTCAAGTCAAGGACTAATATTGGTAATGGAGGTCTAATATTGGTACTGGTATTTTTACATTTTCATAAGCAAAGGTATAAATACAGGTATAATACAAGTAATCCACAGATTGCCTTTTTCTGCAGTCGATCCCTGTCGTTTTGTGTTCTTAAAAAAGTACTTTTGAGCATTTTAAAATGACCTCAAATGACCCCTACATGACCTTGGACCTCCATTTTGGGAAGAGTTGTGATGAATCTCCCACCCAAGGATCACTCCATCTAAATGATGTTAAAATCCATCAAATTCTGTGGACAATGAAATATTAATCACATCAGAACAATGAACTCCAAATCAAAATTGATAAAAACATGTAAAACTTATAAATTTTTTCCTAACATCTGAACCGAAACTTTAACATACGGGTCTACGGTCATGTGGACATGTGGGGACTTGTGGGGTAGAAGCATTGTTGTCCTTTTTTTATCTTTTTCTAAAGATTTCACTTGTGTTGTACCGTTCCCTATGTACCAGTGCCCCACAAGTTGTCCTGGTCAGTACTGGTCTGCAGCCATACGGACATACAGCAGTTAGGACTGGTAAGTGTCTCCAAAAACTTTGTTTAGGCAACACAATAAATGTGGGAATAAAGAAACTCAGGTATTAGGCAGTGGACTCCCATGTGTGTGTATTTCATCCTCAAGAGACCAATGGTGGACACATCAAACTTATGCATCCTTTATTTGACACAAGCAGACCAGAATTTCTTTTCTATCTTGGCAAGAGAAACTGTGGAAACCACATTCCAACATTCCACTACACCAAACCCACCATTTGTTTATTAGCTAAGACAGGAAGTCTGGACTTAAATGTGCATCTATTAAGTGCTGCCCTAACGTCTAATTGAATTGTTCAAATAATTCTTTTGATGTGTATATCCCCCCAATGACTCTTACTCTTAAATAGCTTGTAGTTTGATATCTGATGACATCATGCTGATGTCACAAAATTTTTCATGTTCATACTAGGTTTTATTAACACCTGTCAACCGTTTGGAAGAAAACTTATTTAAGGCTCATTTCTATATTTTTTGTTATTTAGAGAACATTACAAAAACAATGTGGACCTGTTGTTACAAACAGAGTTTATCCATACGAATTAGGCTTGAGCGGTTGAATCTTCCTGGAGCCAGTTACGGTTCCCAAAAAAGAGCCAGTTCCAAGTCAGAATGGGCTCCCGGAAAATTCAATGAAAAACATAAGCTCTAGAAATCAAAGAATAACTGTGACACCTTGTGAGGCCATGCTTTGTGGATTTCGACGTACAATACCGTACACTGTACATGTTATTCTACTACGTATTTGTTTTCAAACAGTGTCTTTTTCCTGTGAAACTGCAAGATTTATTACTTTATTTTCTGTTCCTTTCCCATGATTTTATTTACCGTGGCGAAACCGTCATGCTGTCGAGAATAAACGATTCACTGAACAGCACAAGCACACGGACACGCTACTGGTACCTTGCTTTCAATGAACACGGAACTGGTCGAGTGCTGGAATCGGCTCCGACGGAGCCGGCCGGCCCTGTGTACAAATTTACCCCGGCTGATTCGAACGAGTCATGGGTGGTTCGCTTTATTATCTAGCAGGTATAGCAGCCTATTTTTTACCATGTGCGCCGATATCAGAGAGAAGTTTTAGAAATGAAGCATAAAAATAATTCATTTTCATGCAACGGTAGATTCAAGACTCGTATGGAGCCCGGGATTTTTTACGTAACCTGGCCCACAGCTCGCAAATCCAAATCTCAAAACTGTGTTGTACCCATTGGTGCACCAGTACACGAGTACGGGTCCGTGCGTAGAGCCGATTCCTGCGGCACTCATCGGAGCCGGGGCCATCAGAACCGATTCTATTGGGTTCAATGCACTGCATGCATGCATGCACGCCTCGTGGCCCGACCGCAAACATAGTAGGGTGATTTGTCTCCGATCTCCACGAAAGTGTTTGGAGTCTGTGGTTTTTCTTCGCCGTTGTTTTGACTAGCAAGATTGAATGATGTCCTAGTGTTGAATTCCTACACATGAAGCCAATTCTCGGCTCTGGGTTTTGTGCACAGAATGGGTTATTTAATCGGGAACCGATTCTTTTGGAGCTGAAACCGAGGATAACGGGTACCTGGTTTTCAAAAAAATTGGACTCGCGGTTCCGGTTCTCGTATTAGAACCGGGTAGAACCAGGGAACCTCATAATACTAGTACAGTTCCAGGTCGGAAGGTCAAAGTTAGATGAATTCAAAATGAAGACGTTAGCCTGAAATCAAAACAAAGCAAAATTTCTTCCGAGCGGTTTACGGTATGATCACAAAACCTTGTGTGAACTTGTACCATGTTACGAAGATGTTATAAATTTTGTTACGTCATCATGACGTTATCAGGTATCAAATTACAAGCGATTTAAGGGCAAATTTTGACAAAATAGTTTGTGTTATATCTTTTGAAATAAATAGAGTATCATGTTCGTTTTTTTCATGAGGTTGTAGACTATGCCGTGGGAAACATTTCGTGTTCCCAGACACAAAACCGCTTGACCTTTACTTCCTGTGTTTCCGGAAGTGCAATAAAAACTGAATATAACTCAAAAGCGGAAGCATTTTACTAAAGACGTATATTATGAGGGTGTTTAGTGAGGAATGCCAGATACAAAAAACAGTGTGATGACGTCATCATCCGAAAGGGCACCCCCTAGCAGCACATAAAATGGTGTTTCTTTTCTTTAATTTTAAAACCATAGGTTCAAATTTTACCAAATCGCCCCTTGATATTCTTTGATCCACCACAGATAACTTGGCAAGGTTTCAAATTCATGACGTCATCAGAACGGAAGTTACCTTTATGAGATTTTGCCAACGATCATATTTTAAATTTAATTCTATCATTTGATCCATGTCGTGTATCTGAGCCCAAAATTACAATGTTTAGCTTTTGCTTTTAAATACTGTGATGTCATCAAACCCGAAGTTCTGTTTTATGAATACATGCACATATTTTGAAGTTCAGTGTTATGAATACATGCACATATATTTTCCAAATTTTCATACGTTATTTAACTTCACAATGAACAACCACTCCGAAATATATTAGTATTCACTTCCTGTTTTTGACTAATGAAGTTATCAAGCCAGAAATAACTTGTATGTGTACATAAAATGTTTACTGAAATTTATCACACTGTTGAAGATGCATTTTTTTAACAAAATAATTGACTGTCCTTGAAAGGATTTAATTTCGTGATCCTTTGTTCTTATATAAAAATATTCATAACTTAACTGGACAGTGTTTCATAAAATAGTTGTCTACCCGACCACTCTGCATTCGTAAAACCAACGCGAATCTCTAGTTAACAATGATTTAGTCAAGTTTTAGTAAATAAAATCAAGTCAGAATTGGGAGAGCTCAGAGGTTTAAAAGTAGAATTAGTACTAAAAATAAGGTACCATAAAATCAAACCCAACGATATAATCGACACTATTGAAGTTATTCATTGTAGCAAGCAGAGGGTTGTTTTAAATCAAAGTCAAATAAAACAAATTTTATTTGAATTTGAAAGAAGCCATCGATGAGCTATTTAAACAGGATGAAAGGTATACGAATCAAGGATCAGGTTGGGTTTTAGACGAGATAATCGAGTTTTACATCAACAAGTTTAACCCCGCGAGAGGTACATGTAGTTCTGACATGTACATAAACTTACCAGAACATCTCAGATTAAAAAAGGTGATGATAAACGTACAAAATGAAGATAACGAGTGTTTAAGATGGAGTTTGAGAGCAGCCTTGGGGTTGTACAAGGATAAATAATCCTGAATATAAAATCCACACAGAAAAACCTGGGATTTACACAAAAGACGACAGACTGAAATTTAAAGGCATACACTGCTTCACAAGTTTAGTTGTCTCCAGTAAAATATATTGCAACTCTCACAGCTCTAACTGACTGAATTTTCTGGTCTGTGAACTCTCATTAGTTCAAACTCAAATGAGCTCTCATTAGCTCTGCCGCAGGCTGGCTATGCCCTATCTCCTTTGGCTTTTATGTCTCAATAACAACCACTATCTTCAAATCCGGCCACTGCCCTCTACTTGGAATTTCTCTTAGCAAGTCCTTTCTCTTACATTTGCCTCGCTTGTATACCCAAAATAAAATTAGTCCTATGCATAAATTAACATGATAAGTTTAGTCTGTCCACTCAGGCTTCTCCTTGCCTATTTGAAATTCACATTTAGTGTTCCGTAAGCCCCATTGGCCAATGAAAAACTACATGTAGGTGTGGCTTAATTATTTAAACATCACAGGCTCAACAAAACATGGTTTGGCTAGCTCACCTATCCCCGGAATGTTGGGTATGAGCGCCTCAATAAAAAATACATTGCGTTACCCTCTACATAAAACACATTACAAGTTCCAATGTACTAGATTCAGGCCACATAAAAATAAATCTTGTTTCTACCACCAATAAAGAGTAAATTCATTTGATTTAAATATAGTCACTCTGTGACAATGCGCATCCACCAAAGATTGTATTTCCTACGGGTAAACCAAAATGCGAAAACCGACAACCAGACGAAAAAGATATTGCACTATTAGAACTAACAAATTATAGAGAGAGTGATCTTTTAAAATGTCACCTGAGGTACTGGTATGGGGCAGATTAAGTGGGCTGGTCTAAGCAATTTAAGGAGCTTGTCTATATTATTGCTTTTATTTACTACTTGGCCTTAAAGAGGCATTCCGCATGCTATTTTTAAGTCCCCCCCCCCCCCCCAAAAAAAATTGATTCATTTTTTAAATTGCTATTTTTCTAGCAAATGTTACAAAAGCTATTCACCTTTTAATAAGACATCGATCAAAACGAAAATCAGCCAATACTCAGTGATTTAATTATTACTTTACAGTTTCTAATTATTTGCTCCTAGTGAATAATTAATGTTCTTGTGAGGTTGGCTGGTTTCCACACCACAAACTTTATCAATAATTTACAGACTGGGAGTGCGAGACAGTCTGCTCGCAAAGCCAATCTGCTTGTGCCCAAAACAAACCTTTCATTTTTAGAGGTATGCAGACATCCAGAAAAGGAAAAATAACAGCGTTGCTGTTGAAACCCCTCAGCCAGAGTCAAGTTATCATCCGACAACCATTAAGCTTTAACTCAACATGGTGACCTTGACCTTTGACTTTTGACCCCAGAGCCAATCCCAACATACCTGTACCAATTGGCAGCCCCCACTGAAGTTAGACACCAAAATTTCATTTCTAACTCAAGTTATCATCTGGAAACCATTCACGTACCTTTAGCTCACCATGGTGACCTTGTCCTTGTCTTTTAGTCCCCAAAACCAATCCCAACTTGCCTGTACCCAAGGGCAGTCCCCTACCTTAGTTAGACACCATAATTCTATTTCTAACTCAAGTTTTCATCCGGAAGCAGTTTACCTTTAACTCAGCATGGTGACCTTCACCTTTGACCTTTTGACCCCCAAACCAATCCCAGCTTGCCCGTACCCAAGGGCAACCCCCTACCTAAGCTAGACCCAAAAATTCTATTTCTAACTCAAGTTATCATCCGGAAACAATTTACCTTTAACTCAGCACGGTGACCTTGACCTTTGACTTTTGACCCCAGAACCAATCCTAACATACCTGTACCAATTGGCAGCCCCCACTGAAGTTAGACACCAAAATTTCATTTCTAACTCAAGTTATCATCCGGAAACCATTTACCTTTAACTCACCACGGTGACCTTGACCTTTTACCTTTTGACCTAAAAACCATCCCAACTTGCCTACTCCCAAGGGAAATCCCCTACCGAAGTTACAATCACAAACAACATTTCTTACTCAAGTTATCATCCGGAAAATAAGCTGCCAGGATGGGCATACCGGTATGTCCGGACGGACGCCATAGGCGATGACAATACCCCTCGAGCCTCTCAGCTGAGGGGTAAAAAAGGGATGTTTTCTCGTTTAAATAAACAAAAAAGTTGAAAATTTATCAACCCTAACTCTCTACTGAGTTTTATTAAGAACAGTACCAAGTCTGTCATAATCTGACACTGCTTCACATAATGATTAATGACCAATTCTGCTCAAGTCCACCACAAATCCACCAGTGATATTGATGGATTTTGATGGACTTTGTATTCATGGCTTGCTTATCAAAATCCCCCCAAATACGGGAATGGATATTGATGCAGTTGGGAAGAAAAAGGTTTAATAATAAAATTTAAAAAAGAATTTGGCGAAGAGAACGGTAAATGCAACTTCAACAAAAACATGAGTTTTTTTTAGAGTATAATACAATAAATACATACCTTGCCATTTTGATTGCAGCCATTTCTAAAGACTGTGACCCTCTTCATTCTCACGTTGCACAACTTGAATCTGAAAGACAAATTGTGAAATACCTGTAAAGGGGCTAGTTGAAATACCAAGCATGAAAAATGTAGTTGTTATTCTAGTAATATACAGGGTATTCCAATAAATAAGTGTTGCTGTTGAAAACCCTCAGCCAGAGTGAAATTATCATCCGGAAACCATTAACCTTTAACTCAACATGGTGATCTTGACTTTTGAACTTTTGACCCCAAAACCAATCCTAACTTGCCTGTACCAAAGGGCAACCCCCTACCAAAGTTAGACACCAAAATCTAATTTCTAACTCAAGTTATCATCCGGAAACCATTAACCTTTAACTCACCACGGTGACCTTGACCTTTGATCTCAAAACCAATCCCAACTTGCCTACTCCTGCGGGCAACCCTCTACCAACGTGACAATCCCAAACAATATTTCCAACTCAAGTTATCATCTGGAAACCAAGCTGCTCGGACATCCCTGCCAGATGGACTTCCGGGGTACCTCCATTGTTGTCCTATTGTCCCTATTTCTAAAGATTTTGTTGCGGGGTACCCTTTTTTCTAATATTTTATTTGTGAGGTACCTCAAACATAGGACAGGTACCCCACAAGTGGTCCCTGGTAAGGGAGCCGTAGGTGATGACCATATCCCTCGAGCCTCTCGGCTGAGGGGTAAAAATCAGAACAAAAACAATGCTTTTCCACTTTCAAGCAGAAAAGCAATAAAAATCTTAATGAAAACAAAGGCTGTTTCGGCCGGTTGCCGAAACAGCCAAAAAAAAATCTCAAGGAAAACAAAGGCTGTTTCGGCCAGTTGCCAAAACAGCCAAAAAAAATCCACGTTCCGTACTCAACAAGAAGAAATTGCACATTGATGAATTTTGCTTGCAACTGACTTCAGGCAGACCAATCACAGTTAGTCTGGTTCCCTGACCCCATCATCCTTCGGACTTCAAAATGGGAAAACAGTCAAAATCTTCGTGCGCTCACATTGGGCGCCTTACCAATCGAGGAGCACTGTGATTGGCCTATTGTTGCAGCAGAACCGCCAAACTGAACAAAAACTAGCCGAACTTGGCCTTTCGAACCGATCCCGAACCGAACCCAAATGTCGGTTCGGAAGAGTTCGGCAAGTTTTGTTGACAGCACTAGGAATGCTAATGCTTTGGTGGCATGGAGATGTGGTCTTTTCAAAAGACCACATCTCCATAATCTGTAAACCAAATTTGTTAATCTTGGTTTCTTTGGAAAGATAACATCATAAGGAATCCAAATTTACCATTAGATTTCATGTCGGGGTTATTTGAAGTATGATGACCTTTTGACATTACTTTTAACTTGAATTTGACCTTGTGGATCACGTGACCTTGAAACAAACTTTGATGAAAATTATACCCTAACATGTTTTCTACAAAAAATCCAAAAATTGGGGGAAACTCATGAGGGCGCTATATCCACAACTTGGTTCCAATTAATTCCACAGCCACCCTTATAGGGCGGAATTTACACATAGTCCTCCAGTCGGATTGGACGTCTGCGATCCCTTACAGGATATCTTCGCTGTTTTTTTCGGGGAACTTTGAGCCATTTTTCCTGCCTCATCCGTGGGGTTTTCCGTCTCCTGGTGGTGGTCTCCGCTCACCTCATTATTTTCTGACAGACTTGTTTCTTCAGATCCATTTTCCACCTCCACTGGGTTTTCTTGAGTGATGTTTTTCTGACTGATGTCTCCATTTTCTCGGCGTCCAGCTTGTTCCGTTTTGTCCGCCTCTGCCGTTGCCGATTCGTGCGGCTCCCCTTTCTGCTCCTCCATCTGTCTCTTCTGGCCTGCTTTTGACTTAATTCTCCAGTCTTCTAGTGTAGGTCCAGTGTACAGTTTTAACTTGTCATAGTGCACCACTTTAGGTTTCGTCCGTGGTCTCTCTTGAATACGAAAGGTTACATCAGATAGCTTCTCTGTGACCAGGTATGGACCCTTCCACTTGAATTGCAGCTTCGGGAGAGACCCTTTTTCTTTGCCGAATTGTGCAACCATACAAACTTGCTGCTTTCAATGCTCTTCCTCGCAACACGCCTGTCATAGTTACGTTTCTGCCGCTGATGGCTTGCCTTGATGTTCTTCCTCGCCACCTTGTGTGCTTGACGCATTTTTTGTCGAAGGTCCTGCACATAGTCCGTACTTAAAGGATCCTCTTCCGCAGTTGGTAACTCTGTCAGTGCATCTAGAGGCAGTGCAATCTCCCGTCCCATGAAGTAAGGGGACTCTGAAGTGCTGTCTTGCGCTGTACTGCGATATGCCATCATTGCATAGGGAAGTTGCTCATCCCAGTCTTGCTGATCGGGCCTCAGTATGACACTTACTAAATCCACCAAACTCTTGTTGAACCTTTCAATGAACCCGTCTGATTTGGGGTTCCATGGGCACGTGCGGGTCTGGTCAATCCCTAACAGCTTGCATATTTCTCTAAACACCGCTGACTGGAAGTTGGTCCCTTGGTCACTGTGGAGCTCTTTGGGGCATCCATACACCACCGTCCGGGCTATTGTCGATGTCTGTTGGTTGGGGAGCGCATAGGCCTCTATCCATTTGGTGAACGGATCACCAATAACAAGAACATAGGCGTTCCCTCGCTTACTTCTTGGGATGGGCCCCATCAAATCCATGGCGATCCTCTCCATGGGCTCTCCCACGATGTATTGCTTCAGTGGAGCCCTTGCCTTCTTGCCGGGAGATTTCCTCTGGGCACAGATCGTGCATTGCCTTACTTTTGACGGCACATCAGCGGACATGCCTGACCAGTAATAATGTCGGTGCACCTTTTGCAATGTCTTGTAGACCCCCTGGTGCCTTGCTGTGTTACTGTCGTGTAGTTCTTTAAGTACGTCATCTCTAAAACTGGTTGGTAACACTACTTGCCATCTGCCAAGCTTCCCGTCCTCTGACTCCCATCATCGAGACAGTACACCACTCCGCACTTTTAGTTGCTGCCATTGCGCCCAGTATGTTTTTACGGCGGTTTGCTCTGCTGAGATCGCTTCCCATGTTGGTCGTTCTCCAGTCTCGACTGCCTGCATTATCAATGTTATGGAAGGATCTGCCATCTGACCGTCCCTCATCTCCTGCAGCATCCACTAGGGATTCAGGGCAAGTGTTCTGGCAACCCTTTCTTCTACCCCTCTGATTATTTTCTTCACTGTCAGCTCCTCTGGTAATTCACTTCTTTCTTCCTCTTCACTGGATGTATCACTTGTTTCCTCTGCCTTCTGTTCCTCTGTCTTCTGTTCCTCGTCCTGGCCACATTGCTTGCACGGCTTGCGCGACATTGCATCTGCATTTTGGTGGACTCTGCTCGATGGTGAAGTCAAATTCGCTCAGGATCTCTAGCCATCTCGCTAATTGTCCCTCCGGGTTGCGGAAATTGGTCAACCATCGCAATGCCCTATGGTCGGTCCGGACAGTAAATTTGCGCCCGTACAAGTACTGCTTGAAGTGCCTTACGTATACCACTACGGCAAGTAATTCTCGTCTCGTCACGCAGTAGTTTCGTTCCGGCTTGGTAAGAGTGTAACTTGCATAAGCCATCACCTTTTCCAGGCTATCACCTTGTCGCTGGGAGAGAACAGCCCCAATGCCAATGTTGCTCGCATCCGTGTCTAAAATGAACTCTCCCTCCATCGTTGGGTATGCTAGGATTGGCGATGTCGTCAGCAGTTCTTTCAGTGTCTTTGTCAGAAGGCTTTGTCACATTCCTCCATCCAGTTGAATGCCCGGTTCTTCTCAGTAATCTTGTGGAGTGGCTTTGCCACATGGGCGAACCCTTTAATGTACCGCCGATAGTACGAAGCAAGCCCCAAGAAACTTCTAACATCCTTAACTGACTGCAAGGTAGGCCACTCTCTCACAACCCGAACTTTCTCTGGATCAGTGGACACTCCTTCCTTCGATATGACGTGACCCAGATAGGCCACCTCCTGGTGGAAAAGGCACCACTTCTTTGGCTTCAGCTTCAAACCAGCTTTGCGAAGCCTCTGAAACACTTCTTCCAGCCTGTTTACCTCCTCTTCCACCGTCTTGGCATGGACGACGATGTCGTCTAAGTACAGGAGCAGAATCTCCCACTGCAACCCAGCAAAGACCCTTTCCATTAGCCGTTCGAAAGTGGCTGGCGCGTTGCAAAGGCCGAACGGCATTACATTCCATTGGTAAAGCCCCGACCTCATCACAAACGCTGACTTAGCCTTAGCGTCTTCGTCGAGCATCACCTGCCAGTACCTGCTAGCAAAGTCAAGCGTTGAAAACCATTCTGCCCCTGCCAGGGAATCCAAGCTGTCATCCACCCTTGGAACAGGGTAGGCATCCTTCAGTGTGCAGTCGTTTAAGGCTCTATAGTCAACACAGAATCTGGTCGACCCATCCTTCTTCCGCACCAGAACTACTGGAGATGCCCAAGGGCTATTTGACGGCTCTATTGTGCCCCTCTCCAACAGTTGTTGCACCTGCTCTTCGGCCTCAGCTCTCTGCCAAATTGGGAGTCTTCTTGGTCGTTGCCGGATCGGTTTTGCAGCACCTATTTCAATCTTGTGCTTCACTTATTCTGTTCTACCCAGATCGTCGTCTCCCTTGGAGAATATATCTTGAAAATCCCACAGGAGTTTCTTAACCCTCCAATGGTGACCCTCGGGCACATTTTTAATACTCGGCTCGTATAGCTTAGCTAGATGCTCTGGTAACCGGATGTCTTTATCCTCTTGTGGCTACAATACAGCTACAGATCCGCCAACTTCATCCATGCCGATGTCCGCATCGTCAACTGACGTCAAAGTTCCCGTAGTACTCCCTTTGTAAATGGTAACTGTACTTGTGCCGGGGTTGAACACTCTCACCGGGAAGCGCCTTGCTCCCGCATTCACCAGTGTCCTCGCTGTCACCAGCCCCTTTTCTCCGACACTTGTTCTGCCGCTTGGCTCGATGATACCCCAGCCAGTCAGCTTTCTCTGCTGTTTCAACACCCCCAGTAATATGGACTCGTGTCCCGGTGGAATGTGGACTGTCTCTTCCACCAGCACACAACAGCAAAAAGAACACGAAGATGTTTCCTTGCATGGAATGGTGTGCTCGCCGATGCGAAGTTCCATCCGGTCCAGATCCAACTTGCTTCCCGTGGTGAGTAGGTAATTCATCCCGAGAATGCCTTGGTTGGCTATCGAGCCGACGATGACTTCTACCTTGGTACAATTGCCCCCAATTTGCACATCCATGTATGCGCTCCCTTGCACTGGTAGCGGCGTACCATCAACCTGACGGATGACCTCTGCCATTGGTAGCAAATGTGGTTTGCTTTCTGGCCTCATCTTGTCAAACTCTTCTGTGGAAATAATGGTTTCTGTTGACCCAGTGTCTATCATGCACTTGATGGGGTATCTGCCGATGTTCCCTTGGACGTAGACACTGTGGGCATGAACTCGATTGTTTACTGGTGGGGAATTCCCTCTTAACTCGTCTTCAAGGTGACGTTGGCTGGATTTGGGTCTGGGGTGACGACCTTCCCATGACCCGCTTGGTTGGCCCGCTGGCGTTTCCCGAAGCTCGGCTCTGCTTCTTCGAGGGTCAATTCCGTCTGAAATGTCCCAGGCCCCCACAGTTGTAGCATGTGTCATTCTCAAACAAGCTCCTTTCTCTCCCCTCTTTCTTATTTCCTACATTGCTTGTTCCACTCTCGTCTTTCTGTGGGGATGAGGTCTGAACCTGCATTGCCTTGGCCAGACCAGTCACCATCGTCTGCAATATATTCAGCTGTTCTGACATGGCCTGGGTCTGCCGGTTGAATTCCTCCCTGGACGCAGTCTCTACCTGGCGAGTAGCCCTCATGTTGCGCTCCTGCCGGCCACCATGGTTCCGCTGTCGCTGTCTCTCAGATTAAGGAAGGACTCTGTTTCAAGCGCAGCCCGTATTGCGTCATCTAAGCTCTTCGATGAGCCCTGAAAATTCCCACCCGCACTTCAGCATCTTGGATGGCATCCATGAAATGCCCCTTGGCCAGTCTTTCTCGGGAATCTCTGGGAATCTCTGGGTAAGCCAGTTCCGTCAGCCGGCGGATACCCTGGCCGAGTGCTTGAAGGCTTTCATTCACTCCCCTAGTTCTGCTCCTTAATTCCGACAAGAATCTCTCGGCCTGTTCTCCAGGTCCAAATCGCCGATGCAACCTTGTAGTCAGTTCTTTGTAACTCAGCTGCTCGCCCTGATTTCCATCTCCCAGCACCTGTTGGGCTTGTCCCTTCAAGCTAGCTGCTAAGAAGTACGCCTTCTCCTCAGTTGTCCACGCATTGATCGTGGCGCAAGACTCGAAGTGTGCCTTATAATCCCGCCAAAGGATGTCCCCCGAGAATCGATCCGGGACAAAACTCGGCTTCTGTTGTGCTCGGTGATGGGTGTTTTCCTCATTCGCACTTGCTTTCCCTTCTTGTTCCACCGTGGGCCTAGGTTTTCTACTCTGGATCGTCGATCCCGCCAACCCTTGCTCCACCTTTGTTGGGGAAGACCTTTCTGGAGGCTGTTGTTGGCTCGACGCATCCTTTGCAGCTGAAACCTGGTGCCACGTGCCTGCCCGCTCACTTGAAATCGGCCTGTACATGCTTTCCACCTGCCCTGGCCCTCAAGCTCCGGCCCAGGACAGGTCGCCAGAAAGGGGCCGTGAAGACTTGTGTTCCGCCAGCAGGTTGCATTACCGTTGCTGCAAACCCCGGCGAAGTCCTCATCCCTGCCGTCATTGTGCTGAAAACCAGTGGCACATATGCCCCAACGGCAGCAGTTCCTGGTGCAGACACAGCTCCAACTTCCAATCCACTCGTTGGGAGTTCCTTGTGTCTTGCTCCCTCCGGGTTCCAGTCCCTGATTCTTCCGATCGTTGCTGGTTGCCTGCGGCCTATTGTGGCTCTCGTCCTCTGCCCAAATGGATTGATTGGAGTAGATGCCTGCAGTGGACTCTGCATCCATGCAGCTGCACTTGACCCTCCGGCGTTGCCCATCCAACCATGCTGGGCTGCTTCCTACCTTTTCTCCACACTGCTTGCAGCTTGATCCCTCCACCCCTACGGAACAGTTCCCATCATTCCAGTGAACCTTCTTGACGCTACTTCAACGTGCGCCATGGTTGTAACTGGATAGGCCTGTTGCTGAGGCGGTGCTATGATGGGCTGATACCCAACGCTCTTATTAACTGGCACGTTGTACCCAGATGCCACTTGAGGTGAAGTATCGCTTCCCCGGTATCATAATTCCACTCCCGAGTCCACTTCTTGCACACGAAGACTCGTTGGAATGACGAGTCCTGGCTCGTCTCTTCGCTCCATCCTGAGTGATCCCGCTTTCCTTGTTATTCCCTAGTAGATCACTCCCCGTGCTTCCACTGTAGTCCTTCTTGGTGGATCCCACCGCTGCCACTAATGTGACGTTGTCGTGCCAGCTCTCCTTCGTCAAGCTGGTTTGATAGGTAGCGTGCCGCCTTGATGGTGTCCAGTCCCCGCAGCGGTGGGCCACAGCACAAGTTATCCTCAGTGGAATACCGCCGATGGAAGGTGGAAGGGGTTTGTGGAATGGGATTGCGGAAGGGGAGTAGGGAGGGGGAATCCCTGAGATTTGTAATCCTCTCAGGCCCTTTTATCTACCCTGGGACTTTGGCCCTGACATTCGGTGATTTTAAGTCTAATTAGCAATAATTTGAGCCAGTGGAATGAGTGGAATCAGAGGCAGAAGATCACAAACAATGGTCATGCCTTTAATCAATCCTCATCATCATCCTTATTTGTCTAGTATTACTTAAACCCCAATTACTTGTTCCAATCATTAAGTTATCACTTGAATCATCTTTGAATCATCTGCCTAAAATCCTGTCGTGCAGCTGCTTTTATACCCCTGAGTTCACCCGGTAGCCTATAGCCCCCAATACAAATTCACTCTGCCATACAATAGTGCCTAAGTCCAACTGACCAATTAGCGATCAGGATCTGCAAATATGCAAAGTGTGGGTGACTCGATGTAATACAGTCATTCTACAGACAGTGGTTGCATGGAATTTAGCATATACACTTCGTGCCCCGTCACAATACCCCCAATTTTTGGATATTTTGTAGAAAACATGGTGGGGTTTAATTTTCATCCAAGTTCGTCTCAAGGTCACGTGATCCACAAGGTCAAATTCAAGTTCAAAGTAAAGGTCAAAAGGTCATCATACTTCAAATAACCCTGACATGAACAGTAATGGTAAATTTGGATTCCTTATGATGTTATCTTTCAAAAGAAACCAAGATTAACAAATTTGGCCCACAGGTTATGGAGATATGGTCATTTGAAAATTGGCAGCCACGCCCATTTTGACCAAACTTGCCAAACAATGGCGGGCGGTAGCTTTTTCAGCCCAACTTACCCAATAAACTACATATGAACCAATTTGAAGGGGTGGGGTTTAAATTTTTTTAAATTTTGGGTGATTTGACACGGAATGACCCTCATCTTCATTATCTGCAGTGTTCTAGCCAGGAATTCAATTGGATATCTGGCCGATACGCTTTGAAAAATTCGTATGCACCTGCGATTCTCCCAATGAAAGCATGCTCTTCGCATGTAATTCATCCAGCTCAGCCAATGTCCTTGGTCTTGCGGCGCCGAGTGTTGATCACTTCCAGTGTGACAAAGTATGTTTGGACCACACCACTTGCGGTAAAGGGTGTGCTTTCCTCGGCACAATTTACCAGTATTTTCACTGTGTCAAAATTACAAATAATACTTTTTATGGAGTCTCAAACCTTTCCCTTGTTCGGAGTAAGTCCATAATCATCGCAATACTTTTTTTCGTAAAGAATTTACACCAAAAAATGATGAAATCCCCAAAGAGAGGGTGAAGAACCCCTTTACAAAATTAACGGATCCGTCCAGAATGACAATTTATGAAAGTCGCAAATCGGAGAGTTGATTTTTTTTTACATTAGCAATTTGTCAGCTTGTTGCTCAAAAATAATTATGATTTTATAAGAATAGTACAGTATAAGGACCTGTTTGTTCTTGGAACAAAATTAATCAGTAACTAGAGTTTCGCGTTTGTTGAGTTACAAACGCAGAGTGGTCGGGCGGACAGCATTTTCATTATACACTGCCCAGTTTAGTTAGGAATATATGTTTATGTAGAAAAAAGGATCACGAAATTCAATCCCTTCAAGTACAATCAATGTTTCAAAAAAGTATCTTTAACGGTGTGATAAACTTCAGTAAACATTCTATGTGCACAAAAAAGTTATTTCTGGTTTGATGAAGTCATCAGTCAAAAACGGTTAGTGAATACTGATAAAGTTCGGAGAGGATAATTTTTCATTGTTAAGTTAAAATAACGTATGAAATTATGGGAAATATAATTGTTTGTATTAATAACACCTAACTTCCGGTTTGATGATGTATTAATAACGCATAACTTCCGGTTTGATGACGTCACAGCATTATAGATCCAAAGGTGAACATTGTAATGGATATCATTATTTGGACTTTGAAGACATGACAGGGATTAAATTAAAAAAAATCAAATCAAATAATCTTTATTATATCCCACTGGGGTAATTTAAAATGCTCGCATACAATAACAACATCGACACATTATAAAACACAGTTACATATACAATTGCACGAACAATAAAAACGAACAATCAAAATGATAAAAATGTCCTTATATAATATCATATTAACGCTGGAACATAAGATTGTGATGTTTTATTGCACGAGGAATGAAGGAGGATGGATGTCGGTTTGTCGCAGCATAGGGCACCCGCATACGACCAGACCTTGGGATCAGCTGTTCAGCAAGCCTATCATGAAGTGGGTGATTTTTGTCATTAAATGATAGAATGAAATTGAAACTATGATCCTTTTCAAATTCTCCTTAAAGTAACTCCCGGTCTGATGACGTCGTGAATTTGAAACCTTGCCAAGTTATCTGTGGTTAATCAGAGAATATCAAGGGGCGATTTGGTAAAATTTGGACGGAAATTTGGTTTGAAATTAAAGAAAGCAAACAATATTGTATGTGCCGATAGGGGGCGCCCTTTCGGATGTTGACGTCATCACACTGTTTTTTTTTCGTCTTGCATTCCTCACTAAACACTTTCATAATATATATGTCTGTAGTAAAATGCTTCCGCTTTTGAGTTATATTCAGTTTTTATTGCACTTCCGGTAACACCGGAAGTAAAGGTCAAGCGGTTTTGCGTCCGGGAACAAGAAATGTTTCTCACGGCATAGTCTACAACCTCACGAAAAAACGAACACGATACTCTATTTAGTTCAAAAGATATAACGCAAACTATTTTGTCAAAATTTGCCCTTAAATGGTTTGTAATTTGATACCTGATGACGTCATGATGACGTAACAAAATTTATAACATCTTCGTAACATGGTAGAAGTTCACACTAGGTTTTGTGATCATACCGTGAACCGTTCGGAAGAAATGTTGCTTTGTTTTGATGTCAGGCTAACGTCTTCATTTGGAATTCACCTAACTTTGACCTTCCGGTAGACCCAGAAGTAAAGGTCAAGCGAGTTCACGTACACGACAAAAAATGTTTAACGATTAATGGTCTATCTGATGACAGAATACAAACATCATTGAAAGTTTAGTTCAAGAGTTATAGGTGAAAGTAATTGGTCACTTTTTCAGATAAAATCACTTGTAATTTGACACCCGATGACGTAATCATGACGTCAGAGTAATATGCACCACTTCGGATGAGGGTCGATATATATTGAAAGTTACAAGTTCATACCATATACCGTTTAAGAGAAAACCCGCGGAAACGTGCCGTACGGAAAAAAAAAGAAAGAAAGAAAGAAAGATTAATCGGAACAATTCTAGACAGTGGTCGGGTTGTGCCCGACCACTCAATTATCGCAACAAAGCTCAGGGCATACTCGGACAGGACGGAACTCATCGGGAAAACACGTCAGCACGCATGGGAAACTTTTATCACAGTTCGCCGGGTCGGGCCAGGGCCGTGATAGGCAGCATGTTGCAATTTACGATGTTCATTTCTAAATGTCATAAACTCAAATTATTTGGTATTTTGTTAACACAACAAAAATGAGATTCCTCCTTCAACTTGTGTTGCATAGCATGTGGAAATTGTGATGACTATTTCTGTCAGACGTGTGCATTACACACGTGTTTGTTCGAACTGGGGAACGGCAATGGGCGCGCACACGCACGAGACAGTCACAAGCAATCTTCATCAACGTGTATCTTCTACATGTTGCTCAGTACGGAACGCGGTGCTTTTTCATTTTTGGGGGGGCAAATATCGGGACAGAATCCACCCCGGCTGTTTGATTGCATTATACATGAGGTACCATACAGAGTTTAAGGGAAATCTGTGCAGCGGTTTTCTGGCAATAGACTACATTTTGATGTATGTTTTTGTACTTAGTAGTCAAATCGTAGCAGTCAATAAATTTGTTGGCGATGCTGTTTATGGGGCTCCACTACTCGAAGCAGCCATAGTTCTAGGGGAAGGTTTCATAATCTTCATGAAGGGGTCTTTTAAAGGGCATAAGTCAAAGGAGAAAGGCAATATAAGGCACTTTTATGCATCCTTCCAGCACGTCATTAAGCAAGATGGCCGCTCCCTGTGGCAGCTAACAAAAACAACATCCGGAGACTTTGGCAAAGTATGTTGAATTGGAAAGTAAATTTCACAATGTTAAACTCAGCATTAGCTATCATTTGAAAACAACATCCTCCATTTCTTCAGAAATCATTTCAAAGTCGAAATTTGAGCAACAGGAACTATTTTGAATAAAGCAAAATTTTCAGCCATTTTTTTCACGCGCTTTCAGATACATTCGTCATGTTTACGTAGCTATGCTCAACTTAGCTTGAATTACCTCAGCCCTATATCTTATCTTCAAGTTGTCAAATAGGGCTGGAGAGAATCCCCAACATGGACTAGCAGTTACAAAAATTAAATTTAAAAATGTGCCATTTTGTCCCCGTTACATACTAACTCGACCTGGGACTCACCCAAAACTTGCCCAGCATAACCACTACACAGGTCCTTGAAGAAAATAGTGATCCACGATGAAGATTCAGCCTACAATTGCAGTGAAAAACGGAGGCATTAGGCCAAAAAAAAAAAGTCTCCGGTTTCTGGTATGGAGCTTGCCCCAAAAGTGGTGCGGCGACGCGGCTTTTTTTTTTTTTTTACCCGTTTTTTTTTTTTTTTTGGCTTCAAATGTCGGCTGATGACTGTAAATGGTGCCCGACTAAACTTAGTGCAAATATATGGGAGCCCAGAGAGGCCACATAAAGCTTATTCTCGATCATAACCCCATCTAAAAACACGTTAAAATTGTGCAGCAGCAGGATACCAGTCAAACCAGTGAGTTTGGCGGTTTTGAGACATCATCTTGTATTGAAAAAAAAACTTTTTCATTTTGCCGACGCGCATGGCTACGGCGACGCGCGCGCATACCAGAAACCGGAGACTTTTTTTTTTTGGCCTTACCAACAGCTGATGATCATGGAGACCAAAGAGGGCCATTTTTTGGGGGGGGAGTGACATCGCAAAAAGGTAGCCACTTCCTACACCCTCCAACAAAACTCAACAAAAGCAATACATTTTATTTTGTTGACAACGATACTGGATATGATTCAAGATTATTTTGCATGACCTACCCCCGCTGCCGCATCTTTATTTAATGATCTCAAATCAGGATTACTCTCACTGGCCAAGAATTCACAAGTTGACTGGATCGCAGTGTAACACGGCGACCACAATCAGCCAGGTGCTTTGTTCCCGAATGACCCAGGTAGCCAACCTCGTTATATATGCGCTTGCGTATACATTCCTGGCTCTTCTGTAATCATGCAATGTGTATCTATATCTGTGGGAGAGCCCGATTTATATCTGTTCAAGTTTGTCCATACATGTACATGCCTTTGGCCCACTTCGGTTTGAGCAAGTGTTGTTTTCCATCGGACTTCAGCATCATCTAGTTCGTTTGGCTACCATAGGTAAGACCACATTCAACCTCTTAATTTTATTCTACACTCAGGACAAAGCTTTTTTAGCAAGTAATGATCAGTCACACACAAAAATGTTATTAAGTAATTCACTAATGCAAATTAGGCCACCAAAATGAGGAAAAGGGGATCAAGTAAATTCACACATGCATGAGAGAAATTTCCCTTTAAAAATGTCATCTTGGATTAGGACGATCAGTAATTACAGGTGGAAAATGCAGTCCTTTGTATTTGTATTAACTAGGAGTCCGAGTCAGTCATCGTATGTACAGGGAAACATCACAACGACCTTCAATTTCTAAACACGATTGTTCGTCCGTCCCTCCCACAAAAATTGGATTACAGTCTTACAAATTTTATTCATTTATTGTTTATTAGGTTAAATTGTCCAAGTCAAGTCAAGAGGAAAAGGCAGTTCTGACACCCAAAAGGTCAATCCTTAACTTCTCTAAGCCCGCCATTACACCTTGCAATAACCCGGAAAGGCCAGCATCAGTTCTGCCGCAGACAGAAGAACTGGTTGGACCATCAGGCTTGTCTAGCCTTGGTATTAATGAGTCGAAGTCAGATGCCAAGCCATTGGACATTCAAGAGCCTAAAAAGGCGCCAAGTAATGACTTTGGTGTTTTTGTTGAGGCCATTGAGAGCGAAAAAAAAAGCTGCTTGAGGCTGAAGTAAAGTCCGCCTTAACTGACCGTTGGACACCAACAAGCAAGGATGAATTCCCAGTATCCTTCAAGACTAACCAAGGAAAGCGCAGACCTAGAATGATAAATGACAGCCACCTAAAGAAGTTTGAGTGGCTGGCAATAAGTAGACATAAGAAATTCACAGGTGCATGGTGCTCAGCCAGTGTACTTTTCAGTGTGGCTAAGGCCGCAGGTGGTGGAGCTGGTAAT